TATATATATATATATATATATATATATATATATATAAATAAATATAAAACCCTTACTGATTTAAATGCCAAATTGACAGAAAAATCCCACTGGGTTGGGATTCTTGGGTACCCCAAGAATTCCATAATAATAAGTTCTAATAACCTTTACAAATTTTTCTCTCAAAATGTTGGATGGAGTATAAATTAACCTTACCTCTCCTATTTTAATGCAGTAGGAGTATTCCAGATCAAGAAGTGATTTCTCAACAAGGTTGGAAAGAAACTTGTTCATGTTATCATGGCTCACATCCTCTAAGTTATAGTAACTGCATAAATGAAAATAGGACAGATTTAAAAATAAATATTGCGCATATGCAAATAACAATATAATGTAACACTGCCCAACACGTACATGTAGCGTAGATTGTCATTCACTTTAGGTGTAAATCAATGGCCACTTTATATATTACATTTCCCTGACTGTAATTTAGAATGCTTGAGGGAATACAATTGAGATTAAAGGACAAGTAATTCTATTTTTCCTTAAGATGCTGGATCGAAACTGGGAGACGGAGAGTTCTAGGTATGAGAGCCAACTGAGTGACCTTGGATCAATCATTTTTCTCACTTCAATCCACTTCATAGAGTTGCTGTGAGAAAAATAGGAAGCAGGAGTGCAGGTAGTCCTCAATCTACAACCACAATTGAAAAGTTCTTCTAGTAAGTAAGACATTTGTTAAGTGGGTTTTACCCCATTTACGACTTTTCTTGCCAGAGATGTTAAATGAATAACTGCTGTTGTTAAATTAATAACACAGTTGTGAATGTGGCTTCCCCACTGCTTGTCAGAATGTTACAAAATGAGATCACATGACCTCGGGACAATACAAGTGTCATAAATACAAGTCAGTTGCTATGTGCTACATGACCAATTTTGATCATGTGACCATGGGGATGCCACAATGATCATAACTGTGAAAAATGGTCATGTGACTTTTTCAGTGCCATTATAATTTCAAATGGTCACTAAATGAAGTATAAGTGGAAGACTATCTGTATTATGTATATACTGTAAACTGCCTTGGGTTGAACAAAATCAGTCCATCAGTGTTCCACCTTAGGCATGAAAATCAGTTGGGGGAATTTTGAGCCAGTTACTCTTAGCCCAAAGCACTTATCAGGTTGTTGTTGGGAAAATAGGAGGAGGAAAGAGTATTAATTATATTTTCTGCCTTTTGTTATTTATAAAAATAATAAAGCCAGGCTAAAAAAATAAATAAATGAATCAAATAAATACATTTGATAGAGATGTATGGATGCTTTCTAGTTATTACTCTATGTGAATTTTCAACAATTGGAAAAACACAAAATAAAAATCAGTACCATTCAATTTTTTTATAATGTTATTGAGAGTTTTACATAATTAAAAGATAAAGGAGATCAAATGTATAAAAGAAAAAGGGTAAAAGAAGAAGTGCTAGAAACACATAGAGAAAGAGAGAAAAAAGTAAAAGTTAAGCAGCAGCTTCAGATCTTATTTACAATTGCAAATAAACTTATACCATTTCTTCCCCTTTAGAAATACATTATAGTACCCTTCTTCCTATATTTAACCTCTTTTAATCAGCAAACCTAGAAATCATCAGCTAACTTTTATCCAATTCTAGCAAAAGTCCACAAAAGATTTCTAGTCTTTTATATAAGCACTTATTGTTTTGTCCCTTATTAAACAGGTCACTTTGGCCATCTTTGCAAGTTCTGCCAACTTCACAATCCATTCCTCAACAGTGGATACTTCTGTACTTTCCCATCTTTGTGTCTTGCTGTACATTCAGACTGATTTTTCCACAAATGTCTTTATTACTTTAGGTGTATGGGTTTTGTTAAAATGCAGGTGTAAATTACTGTGATGATGTATTCCCAATTATTCTTATTCCAAATTTGTACTGTTTGTGCTCCCTGTTACAAAAGCACCATTTAGGTAAAACTTAGCAAAATATTTTGAGAATAAACAGTGTTTAGATATATCAGTTTATGTTTGTTGTCCAATATAAGTAGTTTCTTTTAGATATCCAAGTGCCTTCCTTTAGATATTGAACAATGTATTTATTACATAATTTACTATAAGGTATAAATTTGAGGGGACATTATAACAGTTATTTTATGAAAGGTTACAGCATGCATTTTGATATATCAATAGGTAGTTTGGAACAAATTGTACATAGGAAAGATCGTTTATAAAAGGTTAGGTCCCAGATTTCGCACACTACCTTAATACTTTCATATAAATCTCTGTATATATTATTGTGCACTGAACTAGTATTGCTGATGCATTTCATATTTCTACCAGTAATCTGCATTTCCCCACTTCTGTGAATTTATTGTCATTCACTTTCCTCAGTAGCTTACAACTTTTGGCATTTTATCTTATTGTTATATATTTTATTCCTCCCCATCCCCCAAAAAATTCTTGATAAAATTCTTGATGTAGGATGATAAATAGGAGTGGTATTCAGCAGGTTCTGGAGAACCGTTAGTGGAAATTTTGAGTAGTTCAGAAAACCGGTAAATACCACCTCTGTTTGGACCCACTCCATTCTCTGCCTCCTGAGTCCTAGCTGATCGGGAAGGAATGGGAATTTTACAGTAATCTTCCCCTGGAGTGGGAAGGGAATGGAGATTTTACGATATCCTTCCCCTGCCACGTCCACCAAGCCATGCCACGTCCCCCAAGCCATGCCCACAGAACTGGTAGTAAAAAAATTTGAATCCCACCACTGATGATAAAATAGTCTTGCATTTTGAAAATAACGTCTGCTATAAAACAGTTGAACAATTCCAGCATTCAGCATACTTAGATAGTTTCCTCCGGGAGAATGAGATAAGGGCCAGGGAAAGGGATAGATTTTAGAATAACCATAAGAACATTTTTAGTTTTTTCAATGAAACAATTCATTTACATATAAGGAGACAGATTATGAATTGTGTTTTTAATTACAAGGATGTTGCTTAAAATTTAATGGTGTTCATGACTATAGCCACATTAATAGTAATGTATTGTGTAATCATGATAGCATGTGACATGTAGTAATACTTAAGTTATTACTATTCTGGAAATTACTGTAAAAGGAAATTGCTGATATATAAATTTTGTACAATAATTAAAATGACACACTACATTTTAACTGAACTTATAAAACAGAAAGGAAAGTATATTTTATTCTAACTTATCTAACTTAGGAAGTTATCATCCAGTGAGAAATTAAACATTGTAAAGATCTTAAATATTTAATTTTGTATTAATTTAAATAAAAATTAAATATTCAGCTGTATAAAAGGCTTAGAATTGAGTTAATTGATTAATATGAGAAAAATTTAAAAAATAACTATTATGTTCCACAGATGAAATCCTACCCTTCAGCAAATGGAATATTTCAGGATTCTTTCCATTCAGACTATTATCAGTGTTTTATTTATATTTCTTCTCATATTATAACTGAATGCAGATGCTACACTAAACTATGGTTCATTAAATCAAAATAAATCTCCTAAATTCACACAATGTGCTTGTTCATAATTCATGGTTTGTAAATCACATTGTAAATCTGGATTGTACAATGTGCTAAGTTAAAATCAAACCAATTAGATAATGGTTTAAAGCAATTCATGAATCAAACTGTTATGCCAATTGGAGTGACTACTTCTGAGCCACCTTTGTTCTTTAAAGAAAAAGATTATGAGCAGATGCTGTCAATGTTGTACATTTATTGGACAAAAATACAAGTATTATCTACTTTTATTACAATATTTGTATAAAATACATGCTTTTAAACAAATCTTTGTTTGGAATACAATTCTATTTATGATTTTTCAGAAATAAAATTCAACGCAACAAATTTTCTACCAAGACTGAAACACTATACACCGAACACAACAGACAGTTCCTTTGTAGTCTATAGATTAAATAATAATCTTTGGAAATATTATGATTTGATCCTCTATAAAGAAAATAACATTCTCCATATATACATATATATATGTATTCAACTGCATATTGACTAATTCAATACATATACAACTAAATAAATTATGAACATTTTTGTAGACCATTATATGTATCACACTATTCTCCTCTGAAAATCGCAAGGCTACAAAACAAATCATGAACCATGTAACAGAATAACATTCTATTTAAAAGAATAAAATAGACTGATGATTACATAGAATTTCACAAAAAAAATCTTCTAGTTTCCCAACTTGAAGAGAAAAAACTAAAATGCCAGAAGAAAATCCAACTGAATCAAACTTTTCCTAGGTTTTATTCAAACACCATAGCATAGGCAAATATATAGAATTTTCCTTCCTCAAATATCCCAATTTAGAGAGATTCTTTACAATAGATTTGGGCAAGTGTGAGGGTGAAGAGTGAAAACATATCTCTGCAACTTGAGGCTTCCTTACATAATGTTATATTTAATTATTTGACTGTGACTCTAAATAAACCTATAAGTGAGTTATACCATTCACATTCAGTAGGACTTACTTTTGCATAAACATGCACTAGATTTCTAAGTTAACACAGGTTTTTTTAAAAAACAAACTTCTATTCTGTCAAACAGGAATCCAGCTAGAAAGATTATTCCCCCTTTTTATTTGACACTGCTACTACTATCACTTTTGTGCACTTTAAATGTTCCTATGTTCAAAGCTGCATAAAGCTACACTATATAGCTATATAGCTGCACTACTCCCCCTTTTCTGGGTAACTGTATTATCTAACTATTTAATTGAGGATAAAGAATAAAAACAATGCAGTTTCATGGTCCTTGCATTGAATCATCTAGTCATTATTTCCCCTCTGCTGCAAACAGACAGCCCTCCTTTTTTGTCAGCACCCCATTTCATTTATTTCTCAGTGAAACCCAGTTTTACAATAATTGACTTGTCAGGAGCTTTAATTTATGAGGCTGGGCTCTGTAAGCTTTCTCCTATATTCTGCTCAACCTGCACACAAGCAAGGTTGAATATTTACAATGCTGTTAACAGGTGCTGAGTTGTTTAATGATTCTAATAGCCAGAAGCGTACTGAGAAAGCCAGCGGGATCACAATTACAGGCTGTATGAACACAACAATTACTCGTCCCCTGAGAGGTGTGAAAGTCAAAGGCAGTTTTATACTAACAGCATCTAGCACATGGACTAGACAGGGTAACTTCTATTAGTAGCCCGTTGGGGAACAATGCAACAACAAACTCCAAGGTACCATAAAAATTTACTAAGTGTGTAAAGTTTAAATAATCAAAACACTAAAGCAGCTACCTTTTTT